GGAGTGGCTGGTGGGTTTGAACCGCCAGCCTTCTGGTTAGCAGTCAAGTGTCTTAGACACTATGCTACCAGAGCTCCTGACATATTGCTTAGTATGTAGTAATTTTATGGCTGCGAATACCCTTCTAAGAAACTACTGAACTTTAAATTCCAAAAAAAAAAGCATTTCAAAGAAGCTCATTTTGAGCCCTTTACCCCCAAAACACCTTTTTAGGTGGTAGGTAAGAGACAGCCCTTTGCCAGCCCTCAACTGCTACAGAGACTGCTACAGCAATAACCACAATACACCAGTGTTCCAACCACAATACACCAGGATTACATGTTGCCAGAAAAGTCCAGAAGAATTTGGTGTTACCCACAGTTAATGGGTGGGAAGGTAAGCTAAATAATGGTCATGGAGAAAAAAATCACTATGAATGGCACTTTGCTAAGTTTTTAAATCATTGTTCAGTGCATTATTGCACATCCTTACTACACCAAATAAATATTTTTACTCGGCTTACAGGTTTTGATGATGAGCTTTCAGTTAAACTTTTCATGCATCCAATAAAAACTCCCAGATTAGCCAGTAATAAAAACAAAATCCGCCCAAACCAGTCCAGTAAGTTTTCTGCGGTCCCGAGTATTCACTGCAAAACTCCACTTCTTTTTTATCTTGTACACACTGGAAACGCACAGGGAGTGAAAAACGTGGGAAAGCGCAAAGGCCAATTCTAAAACTAACGGAGGCACAGACTATAAAGAATTGGGAGGGGACCAGCTCTCTAAGCTTAGGCCGGCGAGCCCAGAAGTAGGTGAGGAACAGAAATGGCCGCACTTACCCAATCTATCTCTGTGATAGGAACCTGGTCAGCGACGTCCTTCACCCTTACTCTCTATGCCCCCATAGGAAGGGGCCCCGGTCCAGAGCGAGGCCACCTCTAGGAGTTAGGTGAACTGAATACCTTCGTCTCAGCAAGAGCATCAGTGTCTGGGGCAGGAACCGTGGCGCGCGGCGTTCCCTTGGCAACCCAGGCTTCTTCCGGTCCAGAAACTCCGCCTCCTCGCGGGTTTTAGGGTTGCTCAGCCTTCCTGCTGTTGCACCTGGGATTGAAGAATTCCGGAAGTAGGCCAGAGGCGCGTCAGAGGAAATACATTAAAGAAGGCCTGAGCACCGCTGGAGGGGTGAACTGCCTCAATCCTGAGAGCTGCATGCAGTTCCTGGAGAAGGATGATGGGAGTTGTAGGCGCGCGCACAAGCCGCTGGAAAGCGTGTGGCGTCTTTGTTGGTGTTTTTGTTGGTTACGTCTGGCTGTGGGCCAGCTGCCGGCTGCTTTTTGGCGTTGGTCTCTCCCACCCTCTCAGGAATATTAGTGCCCGGTTTAGGAGTGCTAAGAGGTCTCTGCTTTGTGGCTGGCACGAGCGCAGCGTGATGGCAGAAACTGCAGAACACAACTGTGTCCCTTGGGGCAAAGATGTGCGTTGTTTTCCTACGCTGCAGATCGCTCTAGCTCTGCGCGACTTCTTAGTATGGAGTCCTGGAAAATTAAAGCTATTAATGTAGGTAGGGAGAAAGGATAAAATGGTGTAGAAAGTCAAAGGCATCACTCAACATCGTGGAAGTATGCCTGAACTCCTGCCTGCTCCTTAGCTGCTTTATCTTCTGAAGAGTTTTGCATGAGGCATAACCTCCTGTAATTAGACTCCTCGGAATCATATTGGCAGGTAGTTAGGAAAGGAATTAATCTGAATGTTTAAATTAGTCCCCTTCTTAAATTGCACTGGGATCTTTAGTGATAAATGGCCCTCAAAATAAAATTGGCAATGCTTGATTAAAGACACTTTTATTAGTCCTATGCTTTGCAACAGGCAGACACAAGTTAACTTTTTAAAAAATCTAGGAATTTTTTGGCCAGCTTTTCAATCTGCCTAGCCCCACCAACGTCTTCCCACACCCCATGAGAGACATTTTTAAAAACCTTTAGAATTTTCGTATTTAATTTCTCTTGTTATCCATCAATGTGGGATTCCCCCCCCCCAAGTAGCTAGTGTTATTACTGTCTTATTTATCTAGTGTTGCTGTAACAGAAGTAATCACAAGTGAGGTGCTTCCTGCTTCCTTGGAGAGCTGCTTGTGTCTTGGCATCTATTTTACACTATCTCTGCTAGTTTGCTTGTTTATTTAATCTCTTGAATCTCATACATGAGATCCATTGGCACGGTGATTAAAACATTAGGCTGCTAACCAAATAGGAGGTAAAGGAGGGAGTCTGCTTCCCTAAAGATTTACAGCGTTGTAAACGTTAAGGGTTTCCAACTTCTACATGGTCCTGTAGGGTCACTATTGGGTGAGAATGAACTCCATTGCAGGGGGTTGGGTTTGGTTTTGGTTTTGAATCTCAAAAGAGACTGACTCAGGACCCGCCCTACACTAATTCTGTGTCATTAACAACAAAGACAGTCCATTCCCAAATGGGATTATAACCACAGGCATTGAAAAAAAAAACCTTGCTAAGGAGTTCTGGAGGAGCTCTGGTAGCATAGTGGCTAAGGCACTTGACTGCTAACCAGAAGGCTGG